TGCAGGTTTTCCTCTTAAAATAAAAATAAAATGGAGTATTTCCTAGTAAAATACAGAACCAAGCCCCAAACCGTAAAAAAAAAATCCAAAAAAATAAAAAAGAATTCCCAAAGCAATTCCTGGCCCATACTAGTTGCGTGTGCGGAAAGTCCTAAAAGTTTTTGAAGCTCTATCAGTTTCTAGAGGTTCCTATAGGTTGAAGAGAGCAAGTCATGTCTGAAGAGGTTGGATAGTTGAGGAAGTTCCAAGACTTGCAACAGGTGTGCAGAACGTGGGGGCGGGTGTGCAGACCAATCGCCCTCCATCCACGCAGCTAGCAAAATGCAGACTCGTCCTAATACAGTACTGCGTGGTATGTACTCTCAATGGAAATAATAGCGACTCCGTCGGGCTGACAAGTCCAACGCCGTTTCCATCGAGGAATGCATTGTATACTTGGGTTCGCAGCTGCGGCGTGTCACTCTTCCGACCCAGGGGTCGTGTGCAGAAAATTTTCGATTGCGATAACGACTTCATCAGCATGTGTCCAGCAGCATCTTCTTTGACCGAAAGGTGAAGGGTTATTTCCTAGAAATGCTTTTTCATTCAGGCATGTTTTCAGCAGAAATCCAGAACGAAACCCAGAAGTTTTTTTTGGCAAGTTTCATTCATGCATTGACTTTTTGCGTGTATTCCTGGTTGCAGAGTATTCCGCATGCTTGTGGCACAAAGCTGCTCTTCCTTTCGCCCAGGAATGTGGACTACTACGCCTACTATTTTGCGCAGGGCTTAGAGTCGGTTCATCGCATGCATCTGCCGAAGTGTTACCCCAGCTGACATCAGCCTCAGTGAGGTGGACCTTGTCGTGGGCACCCCTCCGCAGAGAGTTTCGGTGATTCTGGACACTGGTTCCGGCGTGCGCCAATTCTGTTTCAAGAGGTCGTGCCTCTAGTCGTGAGAAGTGTGTTCTGTTGGCTGCAGGTTTGTGCTTACCCGTGTGCTAATTGTGGACACTGCCACACCCTCGATCGTCTGAGCGATTTTGAGGGTTTCTCCGCTGGTCAGCTGCTAGGTGGCCATCATATTGACCCGGCGCTCGGAGCTCATTCTCGGCGCCCCGTGAAAGCCACGTCGCGCATTCCACTCACTCGACACGCATGCCGCATGTATCTAGGTTCGACGTTGGAAAGAGTAGCACAGCGAGATGGCTCCAGTGCTCATCGGGCCGTTGTCCTGTTGGGCGTTGCCAGCAACTTCCCTGGCGCGATGTACGGGTCTGCTTTAGGCTGCCTCTCGTTCGAGTTCTGTTTATGCAAAGTCGTGTTCGTACTAAGGTCAGGAAAATGCAGCTACTACCAAGGCACATGAGATCATGCACGAAGTTCTTCGCAGGTCTTGGAGTGTTGAGTTCACCGGTATCAGTCTGGGCAAAAGTTTGCTGGCACGTTTCTTATAGCTTGCACCAATCCCATTGATGTTTCTTCGTACATGCCTTGTTCTTGCAAGCAGCCTGGCACGAGACATCACTGCAAAACCAGAGTCTGCCACTGCCTCGCAGAGAGCCACTTGGGTCCTTCAATCCTAAGCCGACAGCTCATGGCGGAGCCATACCAAGGGGTGCGAAGCTTGCAGGAGTGGCGGCTAGCTAGCTAAGCCCAGACCAGAGAATCTGAGAAAGGAGCCGCAGACAGAAGAGATTCTGAAGGTATCAATGCATGCGTCGCAAACTTGATGCCATGGCTAACCCTGAATGCGGAACAGATCGCGAGCTCCGATTGGAGTAGGTAGAAACGACGGGAGTCCACAGCTAAATTTAGCAGAACAACAATCGGCAGAGGCAGCCTTGAGGACCCTTTGCAGATCGACTGGAAGGGTTTTATTCGGTCAACCCCAAACTAAGCAAAGTGTCAGAAGCTCTCCGCGCGAAAGCGAGCTGGATCCGCAGACCTTTCGTAACCGGAAAGTCTGTGAATCGAGAGTACCTGGGCAAGACGCAAGAAAGCCTCTGACGTGGCCCCAGCAATCCGGGGCATTCACGATCTTTGCCTGCAGGCTACACGGAGGGCTCTTCGATCTCGGGCTTCTGGTTCGAGGATCTGCCATCGCGCTAGCATGCGACTCCAGTCAGGGTTGCACCAACGGTGGGTTCATGCAGGACATGATCAGCCTTGGAGACATGATCCAGCACAACCCACAGGTCAACGCCAGGACATTTAGAAGCCTCGCGGCAATCGACTTTGGCCTGGTTCAATGTCGATTTCGAACAATTTGAAGGATGGGATGTCATTCCAATGAGAACAACTTGTTCTTCACCCAAAAGGCTTCGACTGAGTTTCAGTCGTAGACGGTTTCGTAGCGCATGGATACCTGCCAAACATTGTGGCAGCCTTCACTGTGCAGCTTTTCTTGCCACAGAGCTGTAGGCAAACGGAATTATGGGCATCGGTCCCTCTGCGCTCAGCGGCGAAGCCATTCTGGACAAAATCTTTAAGGAGTGCAGTGTTTGAGCTTCGCCGGAAAGCCGAGGTATTTCTCACGCTCTGTACGTACGTGTTTGTAGGACCGGGAGCATGTTACCCACAAAGTCTTCTCCGTCTGCCTGGCAGAGTTCGACACTGAGACAGATTATTGAACACTGTCAAACGTTGCTTCATGTTGCAGTCTTGAAGGCCCAGTGCTTTCGTTTTTGAAAGGGTGGATAATATGTGGATTCCCTTGTTCGAAGGCGCGAGCAATCCGAACCGACATGCCAAAGCCAGCAGAGAGCTTGCAGCGCCGTTCGACCTGTAGCACCTGAATCGGTTGCGATGTACGGACTTTCCGAGATGTTCAGGATTGAAGTATGGGCTTGGTTCCCACAATCCGCAAATATGATATCACATCTGTCGGTTGGAGAGACTGAGACAGAAATCACGGGAAGTACATCATGTCCTGTGCGAGTGGATTAATGTCCACACATGTGCAAACGAAAAAAGGGGTCCCAAGCACAGCTCTGCAGAAGCGAAGGGGAGGCTTCTATCGACCAAGTGGGTGCACATGCTGTGCGTGAGTGCGTAACAACGGCGGGACCACAGCCCCCACTGCCGGCGGAGTATCACTCGGTGAGGGAACGTGTGTTCTCTGGGCACAAGTGTGGAGTTCGGATGCAAATTTGACCGCAGCGGCTCGACGTGGCTGTCAATTGAGGTGGGGGGGGCAATTCAACGTGGGGGGCTTTGACGAGTCGTTGAAAGCTCAGTTGAAGCAGGCGGCGCGGCTTTGAAAGCTCTCAGCAGACAGACACGACTGCAGCTAAGGTTGCACTCAGGTCAAGTCAAAAGGATTCGCTTGAAACCAGGCGCGTGGCACCTTCCCCCACCTCTCAGTGTCTTGATGTTGGTAATGTGCTTAAGACACCTTCATGTGTTCCAAGCACGAGCACCTTTGCACGCACGGTCCGAACTTGTTCTGTCCCAGCATGAGGTGGCTTCTACAGTGTCCAGTTGACTGCCATGAAGGCCGGCAGGGACAGCTACTCATGCATGTGAATTTTATCTTTCAGTGGCAGGTGAATGGAGTCTCTATTTCCACAACCTGGGGCAGCACCATGATTGACAGTGGCACGACGCACGCGGCCAACTTCGCAGTGAAGCGAGTGCGCGAGAACGCATAGGCGAGTGAGCAGCGCAGGTACACCTACATGCGCAGCAGTAACTACAGGGCGCTGATGAGCGCCATTGAGACGTATTGCCGAGGTCCGCATCTTATATCTGAGCTGTCTCCAACGGTCAGCGAAGCGGCAAAACAGGTCACCAGTGTGGCGGCACAAAACATGGCACGAAGTGCTGGACATTGCCCCATGGACCAGAGAAGCAGCTTACTCTGACTGTTCAGCGGTTGAGAGCGTGCGCCAGTTCTAGCCGTGACTCCTGAGGTTTCCCCACATCTCTGTTGTTTTTGATGGCGTGGAGACGAAGTGGGTTCCAAAAGCATACTTTTACAGGCGACGGACGGTGATCTGCGTCCCTTGTGTCTGCTGTGGTGTTGATTGGAGGAAAGGGAGAACCGACACTTACTGCTACGGCTTCGAAGATGACGGCCCTCGTGCGAACACCGTGCTGGGGGCGGTTTGGATGATGCACCAGGTCGTTCTCTGAGCACAGTCCTTGAGTTCTAAAAAGCTGCCGCGCAGGACGTCATTTTCGACATGGAAAAGAGCGAAGTTGGAATTGCTCCGGCAAATTGCTGGCCTCCTATTCCCATGCAGCAAACCAGTCCAACAGAGCAAATTTCCAACGGAGATTCAAGGTCCGGAGTACAAAGATCGTGACCGGCCATCGCATTCAGCAAAGGACCGCAACTCGTTGTCTCAATTAGGAAGGCCATACTGCCCAATTGTAGAGTGGGTGCGCAGGCTTCGTCTCTTCCGCCAGCGACGACCATGACAACTACCCCTGCAATCTCGTCGGCTCTAACCACCGTGGCCACGACAGCACCGACAACAAGTGCATCTGCTCTTGCATCAGTTTCCACAGCCCATCCGACTACAACTGCGGCCACGACTTCATCGTCCAGCCGCACTAACACTAGTGGCAACCCGGTCCATGGCCCAGTCAAGTCTATGATCCAAATTCATCGCAAGAAGCCAAGCCTTCAGGCTCCACTCGATGTCGGGAAGACACAGGGACAGCCTCGCAGCGAGCGCGATCCACAGCTCGGGGAGAATGGGGGCTTATCTGTAGCGTTTCAATGCTGCAGGTTACCTGGCACCAGTGCGCAGGGCTGAGTGCAAAGTCGTCAGAGTCAGAGGTGAGGCGGCGAAGGCTGGTTTCAACGGAAGGTCGAAAGCACGGTGCCAAGCAGCACCACCGCTCCATCCAACCAGGACCGCCAATGCCCAACCTGAAATGTGCCCGCTTTTATACGATATTTAATTTGTGGCAGGATGCCATCCCTGCTCGGTTCTTGGGACAAGATCCCTTGCACTTCATCGGGGCCATCGTGGCTGGAGTTCTGAGCGTGACCTGGAGCACATGGTACCTGGTAGCAGAGACACGGACACAGATATGCTCTTCGCCAAGTCGCCAAGGCTTGCCTCTGCCTCTTCCTGGTCCGCAAGCTTTGCTTCAAGACGGACAAGCACAGGCGGTCCTTGCAATGACATGAAAAGACTTTGGGTCGTGTAGCCGGTCACAGGCACGTCAAACTGAAAGAAGACGAGGAGTCTGGCATGCGCGGGTCTTAGCCCGCAGGTGCCGCAAGCAGTGCTATCGTTGCGGTTTCCACGAGGCCTCCTCAAATAGTCGGCCAAACTGGCGAGGAGGATGCAGGCTTGGCCTAGCAGCATAACAACTCTTGTGTATCGAGGTCGGTGTCTTGACCTATCTTAGTCCCTTGCCGTCCAACTCATCTTGTCGCTACATTCCATTGCCATGCCGTCGGCGCACAATCAACATGATGAAAGAAAGGCAGGCTCAACTTGTGAGTGCCCGAATGGTAAGAGGCCCTTCCTGTTCGCAAGTCCCCTCAAAGGCCCCGCTTGAAACCTGAGGAGTGGCTCATGTTCCTGATGTTCTCCCTAAACCTAAGCTTCAAGCGGTCGTCTCTCGGATATGGTACCGCGGAAAGTATCTGGCTTGTTTGTGGGTGCCAAGACAAAGACAAGGCTTTTCTTCTGCTCGCCACGTTGCAAAGCGGGAAAAGGTGAAACAGCAGGAGTCGTGGTGTAGCAGTAGCAGGAGCAGGAGCAGGAGCAGCAGCAGTTGCAGTTGCAGTCGTAGCGGTGGTGGTAGGGATAGCGGTAGCGGTAGCAGTAGCAGTAGTAGCAGTAGTCACAGCAGCAGCAGCAGCAGCAGCAGCAAGGCTAGAAGCACTGCTAGTCGCAGTAGCAGCAGTAGTAGCAGCAGTAGGAGCAACAGCAGTAGTAGTAGTCGTCGTAGTCGTCGTCGTCGTCGTAGGCGTAGTCGT